CTGTTAACAATGTTAATACTCTGCAAACAGGCTAGTTTGTAAATATAATAAACTTTAAATATGAATGCTTTTATAAGTCGCTCTCTAATAAATTATATGAAATGAAATGTAAATGCTTTTGGCTTTAACTGTTAGAAAGCAGTTGCTATTGTGTTGTGTTTTTCTTTATACATGGCATTATCAGGATAATTACTTAAAATGGCACAACTCACTTTCACACAGTCAGAAACAAGTAGACTGACATCTAATATTACTTTTGATTCTTAATGGTTAAGCCAACCTTAAGACAAATAATTTTTGGCATTCAGGCTTTTTAAAACTTTTACTAGGTTTGTTGCAGAAGATGATTATTTATAATTTGTTTAATTTTTGTTAAATCCCAATATTATATGACAAGTCATTTTAGGCAAAACAAGGATCATATGTAAAATGTATACCTTCTTTAGAAATATTTAAACTGCACCAACCGATATAGGGCATTAGCACATTGCTATGATTCATTTTGCTCTGTTTGTAACTGGAGAAGCCCACTTATTTCCATCTGCATTTGGTGTTTTATTCAGGTCGCGTAGCTGCAATACATAATATTGGTAATTAGTATAATATGTGATATTCATGAGAGATATGGTATTATCCTCAGTCAAATGTGATACTTGACAGGTATTTTTTGGATTTAATTCATTTTTAAGGGAAATTATGGGTTGTAAACTGTCAAAGCTGCATTTGGAGGTTGTTTTTGTTGTACTTTTGAAACAACAGTACTTTATTTTAGTTGGTACATTTTCTACTGCTGGATTTTAAGTGATTAACATTTTGTAAAAATGACAATTATGAAAGCTATGTTTTTAACAAAAGTAATAACTAAAATCTTTCAAATTTAGTTTTGTGATCTTTAATATGTATGGTTTTAAAGTGTTTTTAATACATTTTTGCTGTACTCATCTAATGCTTAAATTTTTAAATGCAGATGCCTCGAGGGAAATCTTACCGAAGATCTGTAGCAGCTCGCCGCCGGATGGAAACAGCTGGAGTCCATCGAGTAGGAATCCCAGAGACCTCCAGTGGTTTTGTTTCACGTCAGTGTTTATTTTAAGAGCATTTTTAAAATGCGATGCATTTGTGTGACCTGAAATATTCAGAGTACATGTTAACATTTCTTTAAATAACTTATTTCTATTTTTCCTTATTCCTCAACAGGGAGAGGAACGGGCTGGAGACATCGGGTTAATGACTGGCCCTCCAGTTCATTTACTAACCATTTTCACAAGTTGGTCATTCCGGAGGAGCGGTCTGATGGAAAAGTAAGTGTCCTTAAAATTGATTTCAAATAGAATATGTAGACATAGTTCTCATCTTGCTATGTTTTTCTCTGTTTTACAGTTTGTGCTGCTGATTGGCGCGTCTCATCTGCGATCGTTTGCTGATGGGATTGTAAAGATTTCGGATGGGTGCCTTGATTTTGGAGTGATGTGCACTCCTAGGGCAGCTGCAGCTGACTTGCGTATCGAGGCCTACCACGCTGTTGTTCCCCGTCAACCTGACGCTGTTTGTGTAACAGCTCCTTCAAACAATCTTACTGCGTCCCTTAATCCAGATGAAGCGGGAGAGGAATTTGAGAAGTACCTTTTGACTGTCTTGTATCGTTGGCCGAAGGTATGTACTGTTTTCAGCAAGAGTGGTTTATATAAATCAGTGGTTGTTTGTTTTAGTGTGGAGAGACCTGGAATTGAGAAACGGTGATATAAGCGCAAATTTCTAAATGGTTTGTTGTTTTTCCTAGGTCTTTTGTATTGGTTTTCCGCTGCGCTTGACCGAATCTGTGGAGAAGCAGAATTTGTTTCAGCAAGAATTTCATCGCAGGGCAGCAAAGCTTGGTAGGTATTTAATGCGTTTCTCTTAGGTTAAATGTATTACAGGTTACAGGTCTATTTATGTTGTTTTTGGTGAATATAATATTTGGATGAACTTTTTTTTTGTCATTGTCTTTTCAGGTATCCCCTATTTTCCTGTGGCTGAATACTTTCCTTTGAAGCGTCTGGATCTCTGGAGCCGTGATGGGGTGAGTACATATTCATTTTTAACATAGAAATCTTCCATTTATATGAAATGTGAATTTTCTGTCATTGTTTCTGTGTGCAGATCCACCTTAGCGATGACTACGGCATGCCTATTCTCAAGAAACTCCTGTGGATTTATGCAAATCGATATCTTGAAATGTTGGAACCAAAGCCACCGGTGCAGAGTCAGGCAGCTACTGCTTACAAGCCAAGATTTGTGCCTCGCATTGTCGTAAAAGGGGAGGAAAGAAGGGTCCCATCTTTGCCGTCTTCCGAGTGGAGGGTAGTGAGATCTGGCAGGAAGGTAATAATATTTTTGCAGGAGAAGAAAGGTGTGTGTTTAACTGTGCTACATATTTTAAACAACTCATATGTGCTCTATCTTTACAGAGGAACCACCCAGGGGAAATGGAATCTTCTTATTCGCAGAAGAAAAGAGTGGTTCATCACAAGGTATTTTGGGCTTCTAGCGATTTATAAGATCTAATTGTCAATGTTACTGGTATCTAAAATCAAATTTTTGTTTTGCAGATTCATGGGACTCGAGTAGTCTTGAGAGAGTGTTCCGTACCGCTGAATCCTTCCCGTTTTTCACCTGACATCTTGGTTGCCATGGAAACGGTCTCTCCATCAGACCTTTCAGATGTTCACCCAGGCATTGAGGTAATTTACAGAAGACTGGAAGTAGCATTTACCAT